TCCCTCATTGTGCCTGCGCGAAGACAGAAGTTTAACCATTTCATCTGCAGCAAAAAAGTTAATAAAAATAAAAACGAAAACGGGGAGATCTTTAAAGGGATACTCCACTTTTTTTGGAAATAGGCTCATTTTACAACTCCCCCAGAGTTAAACTGTTGAGTTTTACCGTTTTTGAATCCATTCAGCCGATCTCCGGTTCTGGCGGTACCACTTTTAGCATAGCTTAGCATACATCATTGAAGTGGACAAGACCATTAGCATTTCATTAGCAAAAAAAAAAATGACCAAAGAGTTTCGATATTTTTCCTATTTAAAACTTGACTCTTCTGTAGTTACATCGTGCACTAAGATCGACGGAAAATGTAAAGTTGCGATTTTCTAGGCTGATATGGCTAGGAACTATACTCTCATTCCTGCGTAATAATCAAGAAACTTCACTGCCGTACCATGAGTGCAGCAGGCGTAATGATATGACGCAGCGCCTGAAAATAGTCCCCAGCTCGGTAACTTCCAACGTGACCTATTTTCAGGCGCTGCATCATATCATTATTTTAGAAAAATATCTAAACTCTTTGGTCATTTTTTTTTGAGAAATGCTAATGGTCTTGTCCACTTCAATGATGTATGCTAAGCTATGCTAAAAGTGGTACCGCCAGAACCGGAAATCGGCTGAATGGATTCAAAAACGGTAAAACTCAACAGTTTAACTCTGGGGGAGTTGTAAAATGAGCCTATTTCCAAAAAAAGTGGAGTATCCCCACTATAGCTACAAATTACTGTTGCTTACCTCCAGTTCGTGTTGCAAAATGGATTAACCATATATTACCCACGTCTTCCAAGCCACCTGCGATGTAACGCCTCTTTTATTAATTTGTTAAACAATGTTTTTGAAATAAACCTGTTTTTAATTTTCATTGATGACTAATTATTGCAATGTTCGGACATATTATAGACTGTTAATTATATGCCTATAATTCATTCTAATCGACCTAAATGTTTTAGACAATTGTCAATGAGGAGTAAGCTGTAATATTTTATGTGCTGTGAAATTATTGCGTGGCAAATTAATTATAATAGCAGATCAATTTAATAATAAAATTAGCCTAGGCCTCCCCTAATAATGATAATACAATAATACTAATAATAATTTAATGCATAAATTGGAATGGTTAATCATCTTGATATTGATAGCTGATGCTTGTTTTGACAATATCTCTGATATCGTCTATAGGCGCAATCCAGAACGCAGATATTTCACACGTATAGTGTGAGCAGTGAAGTCAAGCTCGATGATCGGACCGTATAGTGAGAGCACATAAATCCTGAACTTTGGCTTTACATCGCATGTGATTTACTCGTTCAGTGTGAGTAGGTACCTTGCTGAAATCGCACAGACATCGCACAGTGTATGCCCGCCTTTAGGTGTCTCTATATTGACAAAAAGTAGAAATTATTTTGTTTTATATGTATATTTACACCTATAGATGTCTTTGAACACCTAATCCCTACCCTAAACTTAACCACTTCTGGCAGATGTCACATGGATTTATTGCAAAAACTGACAACATACTTTTGTTGCATTCTAAGTCTTCTAAAGCCATACAATATCTTTGTTTCACTCACTGAAAATGATCAGTCATATCAGTTTCAGAAGATAAATCCAGTCATATCTCATTCAGAAGATAAATCCAAACTTTAGCACAATCATTCATGAGACGCACCAATGCCAAGCTGACGTAATGCTTCATCATACGGCAATATCTGAATGTTTGCAATTTAAAGGGGTCATGAACTGGCTTTTTAAATTGTTTTATATTGTTGTCTGAGGTCAACTTATGACGTTCGCTTGGTTTTTACATTCAAAAACATCAAAATGAATAAGTAATAGGCTATTTTCTACCCTAGTTTTGAGCCTAGCTCAAAAACGCTCGGTTTTTATGGGCGTCTCGCATTGAAGACTTGGAAGTAAACGCCCACTGCTGTGAGTGGATAACAGTTTTGCATATTATAATGAGTTTCGTGTAATGCGCGAATCGGTGGGCGGGGCTAAACCGGCCGTGTTGAAGTAGGCGGTGATCTTCTTCTGCGGGGGTGGTGTTTTATCCTCTTTGTCGTCATAGTTCCCCACTTTGAAAAACGAGTCGTTTGCTGAGCCTGGTGTCAATAAAAGCTTTTATTGGACTAACAAGGACGTTTTCAGTTCTGAAACGTACAGGATATTCTTATAATTTGATGACCTCTTAGATGTCAAAAGCTCAAGGAAAATTTGATTTCTCAGTTCATCACCCCTTTAAGTGTTACGGCAGGTGGAGACGATGATCGGTTTTGGGTTTTGTTTATCACGCAAATCAATCATTTGGTCTTGGAAGACGTGGGATATTTGTAATTGGCTGTTGTTGCATCTGCCTGTGTTTTATATTGACAAATGGTTAGGTTTAGGGGTCATGTTAGCTTCTCAAAAATGTCTAAATAGTGTAATGTAAATACAATTAAATTATATAATTTCATGACAATGAAATTCCCATGCCCTTTGTGTCTGTGTATATATTGACACCAAAGGTTTGTCATTGAAAGCAATTGAGTTCCTAGTTCATCGATCATAGTGACGACCTTCAGCGTCTTAATAGCTAAACAAACGCGACTTCAGCTTTTGATGCGTTGGGAGTGAGAATGGGTCGTCTATATAGGCAGCAATCTTCTCATCCTAACTGAAATGTTACCTAATAAGTGGAGATTTTGGAAAACTCTACATAAAAAAACTCAGTGATTTAAAGCTTAGCGTTACATTAAACAAGCTACTTTGTGGGATTACTTTTGTAGCCATGGTTTAGTCTGAATTCAGATAATCAACTTGTTTCTCTGGCTGGCCACGTGTTTCCTCTGCTGTAGCTGTTGGAGACATTGAACTTTCTCCATCAAGTGGAAAACTATCTCTCATCTTGCCAATTTTTGTAGTGCTGTGATGATAAAGTGGCAGGCAGACATCGTCAAGCATATGTGCCTCTGGGAATGCTGTGTATAGTTCATTCAACGCCTTCAACTCGCACACAAACACCTGACCTATATAGATAAAGAAGCTCTTTGAGTCGAACCAGGTTGCATGAAGAGATGTTTTCCAGTGTTCAGAGGGAAGTTAATCCAGTTAATATCAGACACAATCACAGCTCCAGAGAGTTATGCTATGATTTGCATCCAATTTAAATTAATTTGTCATTTAATTTCAATCTAAACCAACAACAAGTTTGGGGTCAGTAAATGTTTTTGTGTGTTTTTTTGTTGTTGTTTTTTTTCATTTATTTGATCAAAAATAGAGTAAAACAGTAATATTGTGAAATATTATAAGCTATAAACCATTTAAAATAACTGTTTTCAATTTAAAATGTAATTTATACAACGCTGAATTTTCAGCATCATTACTCCAGTCTTCAGTGTCACATGATCCTTCAGAAATCACTATGATATGATGATTTGCTGCTCAAGAAACATTTCTGATTATTATCAATGCAGTTGTGTGCTGCTTCATATTTTTGTGAAAACTAAATGCGTTTTCAGGATTATTTTCTGAATAGAAAGAACAGCATTTATTAGAAATGTAAATGTTTTCTAGCATTATGAATGTCTTTACTGTGTACCGAGTTCAACATCGTCCGTCACAGGACTCGAGGCCGGCGTGAAGCTGCTCTTCTCTGTTTGGCACGCGTTTTACATTATGGCCATTTTTGACTATTGATCTATTTAGTTTTCGTATTTTTAATGTAAATCCCAGATTTTGTCATTTGTCATGTCGTTTCTGAAGTGATTAAACTTGCAGCCTAATGCACACCTAGCTGTGGATCACTGCTTATGAATCATAGAAGTCATAGAGGACTTGTTACGGCTCAGTGAGAATTATTTTTTTTATAAAGAAATCTACTTTTATTCAGTACTTTTAACATGAAATTGATCAAAAGGGACTGTAAATACATTTTTAAAGCTACAAAAGATTTCTATTTCAAATGAATCCTGTCCTTTTGAACTTTACATTCATCAAAGAATTCTGAAAAATAAAATGCATCACAGTTTCTACAAAAATATGAAGCAGTACAACTGTTTTCAACATTGATAATAATTAGAAATGTTTCTTGAGCAGCAAATCATCATATTAGAGTGATTTCTGAAGGATCATGTGACACTGAAGACTGGAGTAATGATGCTGGAGATTCAGCTTTGATCACAGGAATAAATTACATTTTTAAATTATATTAAACAGTCATTTTAAATCGTAATAATATTTCACTTTATTATTGTTTTCTGCATTTTGCAGCCTTATTTCAAAAACATTACAATTTTTTTTTTCCGACATACGACTTTTGTATGGTTGTAAATGTGAACCAATTTGCTTTGCAACCTTCAGTGAGTGGAACTATTTTGCATTTTTAAAATTAAATTTAGTGCAGTTGGTTGTCAATTGATAGTGAATTAGAATATGGTGTATAGAATATAGTGAGGTAGATAATGAATTAAGAAAAAACATGGCTAGTATTTATTACTGAAGTAAAAGAAAATGTAATGTCCGCAACACTGCTTTATGCTCCCATATTTAATAAAAAAGCAACGTTTCGACCCCACTGGGTCTTCTTCAGGCGGACACATTTAATACAGGGATATAAATAGGTCTCACAATCAACTGACCCACCCCATGATTTCAATTTATTTAATTAGCTAAGTGCCCCGCCCATAATACAATTAAGAGAACACTCATAGCATACTCGACAAACCCATAACCAACATAACAAACGTATTATTTTTTTAATATATTATAATATTTTTATATTTTATATTATAAAGTAGTATTTATTACTCCATTTCAATTGTAAGGTTAGTTGAGTGCATTGCATTGAGGGATACAGTTTGCAATTTATAATGCACATTTTAGTATGTAGTACTATGCTTTTGCACTGTGTTGATACAGTATTATATCGTGTGGTGCTAAACCTCGTCTGTTCCTCCTCTCTCATCAGGTGGCCTACATGCGGATGTGATGTACTCCAGTTCACGGCGGACCAGTTTATCAGCAGGTCATGCTCTTATAGCCTGCAAATGCTAAATATTACAAAGTTTTTTTTAAATAAAAGTGTTTTGTTCTACAGTCTAATGATCTGCATTTTGTTGACGTCTCGTATCTTGCAATCTGTACCGGTGTAATACCCATCATGCTTCATTACAAGGACATTGAACATCACTCCATGCACTCTTAAAACATGTTACCGGTACTTTGACTCACTGTCTATCTTAGGAATGGTGTCCGAGTTCTTGAGTGTGCGGTCCAGCGAGTGACTGGAAACACTGCGTTCCCAGACGTGACCGAGTAAATGTGTTCATAGAGCGTCCTGAATAAGCTTTGAGTTCACTGTGCTTAATAACGCATCATGATGCCAATGTTTAATGACGGGGGGGGAACACACTTTTCCTTAAGAAAACGCCTGCATGTCATCAGGGTGCTTTGCTTTGTGTGGAATGAACATGACCTTTATCTGGCATCTGCATAGCAACACCCTAGAAACCACTCTGAATGCCTTAGCAACCCCATAGCAACACCCTGGCACTGTGGCAGTGAGTTTTGTACTGGCAAACACCACACATTTTTCTGCAGAACATTTTATTTATTGACGGTTTTTAAAGCAGTCTGAAGAACTTTAGGCCCTGATCTAAATGCTCACGCTCTCAAATTCACAAACCTTCATGTTGCTCTCACTGAGAGGTACAACTAGACTAGATGCATGTTAATGATCAAAAAAAGGTTTTGCCACAGGCCATAAAAACAACCATAATATATGCGGACAAGGTTAATCTGACCACAATCTTCCTGTATAAGAGCAGTTGCATATAAATGTGAGGATAATGCAAATTGCGTGATTTGATCTATAAAAGGAACGTTGAACGGGATAAACTTTGACTGATGGCTTGAAAAAGACAAGTTTACAATAGTTTGAAGTCACTGTGAAGAGTAAAGCACGCTACATGAGAACCGCCTGAAGAACTGTGATGAGTTTGATACGCACTAAAGTTTGGGGTTTCATTTTTTCATTAATTAAATAATTGAATGCTATTATTTTGTAATTAATACTACGTATTTAGTAAGAACACATTAAATTGATTAAAGGTGACAGAAATATTTTGTAAAAATTAAAACTTTGTACTGTTTCAAATGCTGTTCTTTTCAGCTTTCATCAAAAAATCATGAAATTCTTTTATCAATGTGTCCACAAAAATATGAAGCAGCACAACTCTTTTCAACATTAATAATGATCAATTATTCTTGAGCATCAAATCATCATTTTAGAATGATTTCTGAAGGATTATGTGACACTGAAGACTGCAGTAATGATGCTGAATAAATATCTAATACCAAATATGTACAAATGTTTTAATCAAGATGCATTTAAGTAAAAGTAAAAAAAAAAAAAGATCTGCCAATGTGGTAAATATTTTCCTAAACAAATGGCAGATAATTTTGCTTGTTTTAAGCAAAAACAATGTCTTATGTAATTTTGCATCTTGATTTAAGAATGTTTAGATATTTGGACTGGAAACAAGACAAAAAATACTAAGTAAGAAAAGTAGTTCATACACATTCATAGAAAATATCTTGCTTCTGCATTGCAAAATAAGGTTAAAAACAGCATTTTTTGCTGGTTGAAGATTTATAGACCATAATTTCCCTCAGATTATCTGAGCACCATCATCTGATATAAGAGGAGGTGCGGGTGTTGTGTTTCATGGGAATGTTGTTCCATGTGCAGGAATGTGTCCTGCTCGGGTAAGTCGTGCTGTGTGAGGCTAGTGCTGTATATAGAGGAGGTGGTATTCTGCACAGAGCTGGTGTGGGCACTGAAGGGGTGAATAAGATAATTAAGCACACCTCCTAGTGAGCGTCACAGGGCTCTTCTCAAACCTAGGAATAGCAATACTTCACTAATTGTAGGAAAAATGGCACAATCTGATCTTTGACATTTTATTAGTTCCGCTAGCATACTAAACTGTGGACAAAGTTAACACCCTAGATAGATAGAAAAAATTATGGTAAAAAACTGTTAATTGGTTAACAGCAAGTTCCCTTTCTACATATGGTGAAAAACTGTAATAGATCTAATTGATAGATCAGATCTTACATAATATTACAGTAAAATACCGTTAAAAATACAGATTTTGGATATTTTTATGTTCTTTTAATGTTCCATCTGATGTTGTTAAAGTCCCCCTGTAGTCAAATCATTTTATCCCTTAAAACTCATCTTTGATCACAACAGACATATTTTTTTTTTTATTCTTTGCAGAAAATTGTAATGCCACTCATGCCAAATAGCTTGAATGTAACTCGACACCCTTGCCTCATTTAGTATCAGCGGTTCTATGAATATGCAAATGAGCCCCGCCTCCACTCACTCACTCCAGCTCAGAGATCCACTGGTTGACGATCACACGTTGATCTGATTGGTTACAAGGTCGTTTGTGACGTCAGAAATGTCGTGTTTTTGAGACTGTCTTTGGTTCACTGCAGTTTTAAGGAGAAAATACTCAGCAATGCTGTTGAGTTATGAATTTGCACATGGTTTGTCTTAAAGCATATTAAAAACACCACATAGACATATAAACAACATCAAAAGCTGGATTTTCACCACAGGGGGACTTTAAATTAATGGGTTTTTTTGCATTATATTAGCGTCATGTTACCATGATAGTGTTTTATATTTGTGTGCATGTCAGTCACTGTGTGCCCGATTTATATTTTTATGTTAACTTCAGCTCATGGAAAAGCTAATAAACTAGTATGAATCATAATGTGTCTTTAACCATTATTATAGTGGTTATCAGTAATACACATGTACAAAACAGAAGTTATTACTTTAGATAAAATGTTAAAATTCCATCAGTTAATAAAAATATGCAGTTTTGTACTTATAAATTTAAGTTCAATCCATAAAACTTAAAACGTTGCTGCCATGGGTTTATTTTCTACCCTTCCAGAACCTGTGAGACTGCTTTTTCTATTGAACACGTTGATGTATATCTTTCCAGAACGTCTGAACTGCTTCTTTTTTCCATCTAATGACTACACATGCATTTATTTACATCAGGCTCCAAAAATAATGAAATCAGCATGAAGCTTCCACAAAAATAGGAAAATAACCTTTCCTACAAGTGCCCTGTTCCAGGTTGTACATCGTTCAATGTAATGTACACCACTCTAATGTACAGTATGAAGGTTTCTTTTTAATTGAAGAATGGCACAAAGATGCTCAAACTTATTTATAGTCCTGTTTGCATTATTTTTGGTTGACCACCGCCACCTCTGCCTTTTCCCTGCGCTGTTATAATGCCCTGCACCCGCTTCACTCAGAGCCTAATTTAGAGGAAACCGAATTTGCCAGCAGGCTGAACTCCATCAGTCACAGGGGTGTTCAGATCCACTGAGGAATAGAGTTAGGGCAGCAAACTCACTGCACTGCTTCTCTGACAGCACTTGTGTTTTTGACAAATAACAGCCCAGAGACAAAGATAGTGCTTCCAACAGACGCCTGCAAAATGCTTTGGGAACTAGTTTGCAATGTGTGTTATTTTATATATACTGGGTTTTTTTTACACCACCAGAAAAATCTTTTGATACACCATACTACTGGTTATTTAGTATGAATATTGTCTGCATGTCTAAACAATAGCCATCATTTGGTGTGAATATGTTCTAATATGTCTGAGGTGTGGAGATTATGTGGTGACCAAAAATGTTAAATATTTCTTCTTGGTCTAGAATCCATCATCAGTCATCAACCAGCTTTATGACTATGAGACTCTTTTGTAAATGTATATGTTGCTGTAATCCACAAATTCCTGAATATAAATAGAAATACTGCATCTACAGCAGGTTTGTTTGCTCCTGAAACACGTTTCCACTAGTTTTCTCAGGCATCCACCACGTGTTTCACTTCTGACAAAGTGTCTTTTAACGTGTAAAACCATTCTTTCGAGGGCAATCCGGCAGCCAGTGTGAACACAGCACACAAGATCTCAGAAGTCACAGTGCATCTGTTCTTTTTCTCTCTCTAAGACAATATTATCTGTCTGCAGTCCCGGAGGCTGCATTTTCAGGACCCCACTTCTAGGACCGCATTTCTAGGACCCTAGTTTTTTGTGACAGCGCCACCTACCGAGTCGGAGAACCGCAGTCCCAGGAACGCATTTCCAGGATCCTAGTTTTGGAGGACCGAAAAAAGTGCCACCAAGGCAGTATTTCCACCCAGTTTGAACTACATTAGAGTTTTTTTTAAAGTTGTATTACACCCACATACTACTTTCTTTATTGCAATTAAACCAGGTTCCTAGGAATGTTGAGAAATGAATGATTGGGTCTAAGTAGCATACTATAATAACTCAAGTAAAATAAACAAGGAATCATGTTATAGCCTTTTCAGTCACTAGATGGACCACATTTTCAAGTACAGAGGGAAGACAAGGATGACTCTGGGGGTAGATTTAAGATTGTGTATTTTACAAAATAATATATAACACCTGAACTTGAACACACTAAATATTTTACAAAATAATATATAACAACTGAACTTGAACACACAAAAACAAAATTGATCATGATGTGAACCACATAGACAGAACTGCAATGGATGGACAAACACATGGACAACATCATCACTGACTCCTAAGAGAGAGAAAGAGAAGTGAATTAAATAAGGAACATTTAGTTGAACATGTTCTACTCTCTAATTTTAAATTTCATATTTAAAAGATCTTAGTTACCACAGAGTAATGATAAAAATAATGATATCAATCTTCATACCAATTAATGTTCATAATACAATTATTGCATACTGTTCAAAGATTTGGGGGGAAAAACAATATTTTGATGTTGTGGGAACAAAGGTTCTAGAAACACTCATGTCAATAAAGCCCATCTGAACTGAGAAAAAAATAATAGAGAGAGATGCAAGAAACCTGAATAGAAATAACATTATTGACACGACTTTTCCTGACCATATATAATATTTAAAGCACACATTGTGATGTATGCAGCAGCACTACCAACTTTATAAAACCATGTCAAAATGAAGAGACACATAACATGTATTGTGGGTAACG